GAAGTCAGGCAAGTACTGTTCTCCTGGCAACCGCCAAACCCAGACATGTCCATCGGATTGCCAGACAGAGAAGCATGATTCGTCACTCCAGAGAGCACGTCTCCACTTCTCTAGAGTCCAGTGGTGGCGTGCTTTACGCCACTGCATCCAACGCTTTTCATTGCACTTGGTGATGTAAGGCTTGGATGCAGCTGCTCGCCCATGGAAACCCATTCCATGAAGCTCTCTACGCACTGTTGTTGTGCAAATCTGAAGGCCACACAGTTTGGAGGTCTGTAGCTATTGACTCTGCAGACAGGTGGCGACTTCTGCGCACTTTTTAGCATGCGCTGACCCCGCTCTGTCATTTAACGTGGCCTACCACTTTGTGGCTGGGTTGCTGTTGTTCCCAGTTGCTTCCACTTTGTTATAATACCACTAACAGTTGACCGTGGAATATTTAGAAGCAAGGAAATGTCACAGAACGCCTGAATCCAATGATTTGGAGGGGTGTCCCAATACTTTTGGCAATATACTGTAGTGTATATTAGGGATGCACCAATACCATTTTTTCAAGTGCAAGTACTGATAGATTTTTGTTTGTCATGTGACAGTTTTTCTAAAACAATACAGACTAATGATTTTAGGACAGTGGTGGACCACCAAAGCCAGGTCCCAGCTGCAACCACTGCCACCCTGGTAGTTCTCGTGAAAATGCAAAGTATTAGTACTGGTATTTGACCATCCCTAATTATTATTTTTTTGTATCACTCTAAAATCTTTTTCTCTGAGTCTGTTAAAAAACACAGCAAATATGTTGAATCTCTGACCATTGGGTTATAGTACCACCTACAGGAGGCAAATCCCAACCCATAAGGACAGCCAAACCCCCTATCTGCTAAAGGCAGTACAGTTAATCACAAAGCAGTCTATAGAGAACAACTGGTCACAAACAAAACAGCCGGAGAGGACAGTGGTGTGCCCTTCAATGATTGTAGAGAAAATAATTTCAAAGGACACAGCAGAGATTTTGAATCTCTGACTATTGTGCGGTCCTAAAGAGGGTTGAGAAAACTGAACTCCCCTAAGGCAGGAACCGTACAAAGTCACCTGTAAGATGCATGAGCCATGAATAATATACAGATATATGAAAACTCCTCAAAACGAAGTAATGTGCAAAAGTAGGATTCACCAGGATAATGGATTTAGGAGCTTATACGCCTCTACTGGTGAGTTGGATAGAGATTTCTGACAAACAATGGTTAAGTAACCTGCACAGCACAAATATCTGAAGACAAAATCTTCTATGGCACTGGAGATGGAGAGATAAGGAAACTATGGCCAGGTAGAAGCCAAACCCACTACAAAAAAAGGAGGCTCCAGCTGCAACACCACCTAATCACTGTGCAGGAGCAGAGAGGGTTCTTTACAGGACAAAGGCGCTAGCTTGGAAACACGCCTTTGAAAAGTGATGGCAAACAGGAACGCAATCCAGCGAGTAAAGACAGAAAGGGAAATAATCCTAATAGGTTCCAAAGAGCTTGAGAACCAAACCCAAATCTAAAAAGTCAAATGAGAAACTACATAAGTCTGCCTGCAAATAGGCCACCTTTGGGATGTAAACGGCAAACAAGGCTGGCACGTGAACTTTAGGCCAAGACTGATCCACGGTTCTGCCATGACGAGACTTCTAAGATAGTTGTCCAACAAAAGACGGATTGAATAACCTTCCAGCTGGGTGGTCCAGCATTGTAGGGACAACCATATTGTTCGAAGCTTTAGAATGTTTAGCGGGAGGCAGGATTCCTCAGACGACCAAGTCCCCTGTACTAAGAGGATGTCTAGGACCCCTCCCCAGCCTGGCAGGCTGTCCTCTATTGTGAGGATCTCCCAAAAGATAGAAAGTATGGATTACACCAACTCCAGGAGTGAATTTCTGAGCCACCAGGACAGAGAAAACCTGATCCTCGGTGTTTGGCAAGTTGGTTGGTCTTAAAACTGTTGTGGGTCAGGACTAGTGTGGAACCAACATAAAGAACAGCCATGAAGGGACTACGAACAGGCCCAGAACACTCATGCAGATCACAGAGTTGGATGGCTCTTGGACAGGAGAATTCTAGACATAGAACATTTTAAAATTCCCCTGGAGGAAGGAACAGTCTGCTCAAACTGGTTCTAGGACAAACACCAGATACTCCAATGAGCCAGATCCAGCACCAACTTCTGAAGATTCAGGATCCAACTGAAACTCTAAGGCACGGGTAGGCAAACGAATGCCTCCATTTGTGCCCTGGGGCATAGCAAGGCCAGTGTAGGAGCAAGTACCATAGTGAACCTCAAGGTGCGGCACATAGACTAAAAAGGTAAACCACAAACTGGTAGAGCGGAGGGTCCACATAAAAAGCAGCAGGTAGTGCCTATGTGCCAGAAAGACAGACATGCAAGTACGCAGCCTTGATATCCACAGCGGTCCAAAGAGTTCCCAATGACAGGAAGCTGTGCCAGACCAGGTGGCTTCCATGCAGAACTTTGGGCCTGGTGAAGACATTTGCCACCTGCAGATCCAAGGTGAGACTGATACCCATTTTGGATTGGGACCAGGAAAAAAAAAAAAGGATAAGAGGCTGGGTGAAAGCCATGAAACCAGGGACAGGCAAAATGGAGTGAAGCAAGGAGGGGGCAGATAGAACTCCAGCTAGTAGCCCCTGGATGTCCCATACACAGACATCCAAAAGGTGTCTGTACACTGCAACAAATCAGCAAAGGCCAATCAGTCATATACATACCCTAATGAGACATCTCAAAGGCTGCGCTTCAGACCAAACCTCCACAAAATGCAAGGCACTACATGCACTTGCTGGCTGAGCAGGGGGCTACAAGGATCTAGATTATCCAGCCTGTCACCCAAGCTCAGCAGTTCATTGAAGATCTTGAAAGAAAAAAGTTCCCTACAAAACCAAAGGGAACGAATATTCCCAGCAGGGAGCTTAGTTCTGTACTCAACACTAGGCAAAAAACAGAGCTGCCTCTAGCAGATGGGGGGTTGGCCACTGTCAGGAGGCAGCGCTAGGCTGTGCTTTTTTTGGCTAGTTTCCCAGTCCTGAAGGTTATTAGACATGTCCCATTGCATTTCAGACCGACATATTCTTCTATATGACTATAATGGGTGCTGAAATGGCCAACGGTTGGCGCCACAAAACCAGAACTGTAAGATCACCAGCAACCAGGGTCCACATTAATTGATCCATCCTTTGATGTTCAGATCAACATGGTGCCACAGATAATAGCAACATTTTGGAACCCTATTTGGTCCCTTCATCAAGCTAAGCAATGTGATCACATTGCTTGGCCTGGTGAAGGGACCAAATAGGGCTCCGAAACTTTGCTATTATCTGTGACACGTTTAAGGAATACTTATTCTGGTGTGTTAGTTTTGTGAATTGTGCTTATAGTATCACGTTACTTTGCACACTTTAAAAACCACCAGATCTACCACAACCTCATGATTATGGCATGGTTGCCCCTTGCTTAGTTTTATTTCCTCTACACAACCATTTTTGTTAGTTATTTAGTTTGGGTCAGTCTATAAATTATTGGTGTCTGTGTGGTATACCACACAGGCACTGGCTAAACCAGGGGAGAGTAAGGCCCTTGTCAAATTTGTATTGCTGTCTCTGTCCCTCCTGGGAAGATTCACCCAGTCTGTTTGTACTGCTGACCTTTGTTGCCAAGACAAAGTGAAGGGAAATCCATATATTTTGAGTTATCATCAAAGTAATAGATGAGATAAAATCCTTAAATGGGGACAAGTTTTATAAAGATTTCCTTTTGATTCCTGTTGCATCTCTAGGACAGGAAGTGAAGGGAGACCTTCTTAGATGGAAACAGACAGCAAAAAAATAACTTGATGGGGAGGTTTATGCCTACCCTGCTCTATCAAAAACAAATAGCTTTGGCTGGACAGACACTTTAAAAAAGGCACAAGGCTATATGCATACAAAGCTCACAATATTTTTCACATGAAAGTGGTCTGTTAATTTGCCAGTTTCTAACATTCAAATATCTTATTTCATTACTCCATATTTTGCAGATGGAATTGTTTGTAACGCCAACATACACTTTTTAATTTTTTTTATTTACACATTAATGCAGGGCGAACGATTGTCCAAAGATTATTGCAGTTGTGTGTGTGTTTGCAAGCTTAATAAACATTATGCACGTTTACTGAAACTTGAAATAAAAAAGAAAAAGCCTAAGGATGTTAGCCAAGTAATCCAAAAATAGTTGGTCATTAAGAAATACCCTTTATCCAAGCAGCTCCACTTCTATTTGGCAGGTAGATTTTGTCATAGCAACAAAAGCAAATATGCCACTAAAATGAAAACACAAATGAATAAGGCTGTCAGTGAAGTATAATGTACAATTTTTACTGCAAAACTGAAAAATATGAAAGCTTAAATCCAAGAATGACTTGTTACCCACCAAGGCATTAGAATGACAAAATTCCATCCTCACAACACATTTATTTCAATAGTTCTGTAAGTAGGCCCTTAGCACGAGCATAGTGTTACACAATTGTCATACACAATCACATCCAAAAGAGTTCTAAAATTGCAATTGTAAACATTCTCATATGTTGAAATATTAAACGTTTTTGCTAAAATGCTCAAGTGTGGAGCGTAACTGAAAATCTTTAAAAATGGTGTGGTGAAAAATATCTACTAGTACAGAAATGGGGTTTAATAAAATACTAAGTAGACAAAATGGCTAAGAACATTCATTAAAAAGAAAAACAAGTAACATAACAGGTGAAGTTCTTGCAAAGCAAAATAAGCTTGCTCAAAACCTACATAAAAGAAATGTCACGGTAAATACATCTTTGTTGACAAAGTAGGAGGTAGCATGGATGCACCAGTTAGTGAGAAATGCAACTGAAATAGAGTGTATTTTCTTACAACAAATAATTTCCAGTACTATTTACACATTTTTTTCAGAAATAGGTTAAACAATCCACCCTCCACTTTTTAGTACAAAAGCCTTGTGTAATAATAATTAAAAAAAAAAATTCAACACATGTTATCTGTACAGAATAGCACTGATTGCCCTAGTCAAATGAACAGTCTTCAAACTCTGCAGTATATGGTAATACCTAATGCCCTATACAAACCAATAACGTTTCAGGAATTGTCTGATCTTATAGAAAATATATTGTATAAACACACTTAAGATTTTTTTTTTTTATAATTTAAAGCAGATGGTTTTCCATGGTCATTTAGAATTTGATACCGGGTTTAAACTATTTGAAAAGGCTTAAATTCAAGGGTGATGTTTAGCTTAGTACATGATGTAAGAAGAGTGTAGACTGTTAGGTCTGTGATAGTTCAGTTTAAGGTTGCGGCACATCAGTATCTCTTTGTCCTTGGTACTATAAACAATTGTAGAAAAGAAAAGAAAAAAGTCCTAATATACATCCGTGGTAACTGCAATGTCCTGTATAATTGTTTTTTTATGTTGCAGCTTCAGCCATTAATAAAGGGACATTTATTTCAGTGATTGAAGGGGGTTTCTTTAGTAGCGGTTCCACTTCAACCATTCCAGCTCCAGTCCGTGGAAGGTTTGCATTGACAATGTGACGTTGCAAATGCTTTATCCAATCTTCTTGGACAGACAGAGGTCCACGAAAGACTAGTCCACAGAACCTGTTATAAAGACAATGTCTTTTAATTATGTGGTTGAAATACCAAACCTTTCAAATCAAGTCATACATTTATCACAACTCAAGTCTCAGATAAAATTAAATCAGTAAAAAAATTTAAAATTGAAGTAAAGGATACAAACCAAACTTGTCAATCAGATATCCAAGAAATGTGAGAACCCTCACAACGTTGCATCCCATAACTATAGCTAAATGACCCCTGACACTTGTACAAAACTCAAGGTTACCTACCGTTAAGTCAACTTAACTAAATGGGGTAGGGTGTACGAAAATTACCCCTACAAGGGCAGGCAGGAATAAAGGTATACCATAACCCTAGACTGGTGCAAGTTAACACCAGAAGAGCAAGAGGATGAGTAAATACCCCATCTACTTTACCACCCGGAGGTATCTCAGGAGCCTGACAGGGAATCTTTGCTGGACCTGCCTAACTTTGAACCAGAACACAGTTCTAAGGATCTTCTGACCCATCCTGGTTCAGCAAAGCATCCACACCCATGGATTGAGGGGCAAGAACCTTAGCCATACTGCTAAGGACAGAACTGTGGAAAGGATCTGTTGGAACTTCCTCAAAGGGCTACGGAGTAACCATAGGAGGACATATTTCAAGGCGATCAGATCCCACGGATACCTCTGGACATACTCTCCTCTGCTTGATGCAAAACAACCATCTTAATTTCTTGCTTCAAGTTCATGCTCCCAGGTATAGGAGAGGAAACCAATTGAGTGAACAAGAGAAGGAAAAACTATGTTAGGAGAGTATTCCCTCACCTCCCTACAAGCCTCTAAAGGGGCAGGAGGAAGAATTTTCCCTGACAGTTAAGGATCCAATTACCTAAAGGGAGTAGACTTCCTTTGCGACTATTTGAGCTGGACAGCCACACCCACTGGTGACCAAGTTACCAACATTAGACAACTGTGAGGTCCTATCCAGCCAAAGTAGGGCTCTTCAGATGGGTTATGACTACAAGGGTCCAAAACCATAACCTCTACAGGTAAGATCATCTGAGCGCTCCACAAACGGGAAATCAGGAAAAAGCATTAGGGTGGACATTAGGTCAGGAAATAGGTGCCTTCAACCTACACCGAGTGGTCCTTGTTACGGAAGGGAGCTGTAGGAACCAGTAACGGTCAACCTATGCAGTCATGATGTCCCTTCTGGAGGAGAATGCTGAGGGGTACCAAGTAGCCTGATGGGTTGAACAGTATCCAAAGAAATAGAATGCTCTTAAAGAAAAAAAAAGTGTAAGTCCATGAGGGGTACAACTCCCAAAGCCAACGAGGGAGCTCAGAGTGCAGGGGGACTGTAGATTCTCTGCAGTAGCACCAGAAATAATGAGGAACAGCTGTTCAGAAATGAAGGGTTAACCTTTGGGCTAAAAGGGGTGACCACAGTACCAAAATTCTGGGAAGTAAAACTACCCAAGGGCCTGTCTGGATGGTCAAAGTAGAAATGGGGGAGCAGTGTCATGCTGAAGGCTTATCAAATAGGGTTAGTTGACCTCTGGATTCAAGCCCTATGGGATGAGTGGGAGTTAGGCCCAGAAGTCCTACTAGTACCTGCTGCCGAAGTAAATGGAGAAAAGTGGAATTCCTCTAACCATCTGCAATGAGGCAGAAGCAGACTCTGGCCACCAGCTGCATTGCCAATAAGTGTAAAGAGAAGGTCTTAAGAGACAAGAAGGGAATTTATCAAAATCTGGAGCAGCTGTGCATGGCAACCAATCAGCTTCTCTCTTTCATTTTCAAATCTTAACTGAACAAACTGAAGAGAGAAGCTGATTGGTTGTCATGCACAGCTGCTCAAGATTTTGTCTGCTCCAGTTGTGATAAATTCCCCCCCAAAGTGCCTCAAAGGTTAAGTCAGATAATCCTTGGCGGTATCAACAGTGTCCAAACCTCATAGGAAGAGTGCCCTATGCATTTGTATGGGCATCAGTGCAATGTGGGGGAAAAGTTTAGATGCTTACAACAAGCCATCACAACTAAAGCACAAGGCTCCAGCCATTCTATAAAACAGCGGTCTATCTCAACAGTAGAGGATTCCCTCTCGAAGTCTACCCATTCTGACACAGTTTGGCAGACTTTTGTTACCACAAGCATTGGGTGGAGGGCCAGACCACTCCATGCATACTGGGATTCAAAGGTGGGACTCTAGCTGATGCTCAGTGGATTACCAAAAGTTGAGCACACTCTTAAGTCAAGTGGTCCTCCTGTTAATGTGGGTCACTGGTGTATCTATGGTGGAAATATATGACAGATTTACAAATACTCTTTCAAAAGGGAAAGGTTTTGATACACTCATTAATTACCCTTTAGGATGTTTCCAGTTTGCATAAAGAAATGGGACAAATAGTGCGTGTAGCGGAAAGGTCTTTGAAGCCATAAGAGCTCTAAAAGACCCAAGGGACTGGAACAGCATGCCGATCCTACAGATGCAGAGTAATATGCACTTCATCAATAAGGTATGCAACAACCCCCCTAAAAACTGCTGGAGACTGTGGTGCCTCAAAATCAGACTGTTGGGACTTTGAATATGAGTTAGAGATGTTAATAGGGGCTGCAAGCCTGATCTGATTTAAGGGCTCAGGAGGATGGGATGCTGCTAAGGTACGCTTAAAGCTTCTGCAGGCAGAATGCTCCAGATCTCAAGTTTCAGCCGAGGGTCACTAAACTGAAGCATAATGGGTAGAGAAGGGGGTTATACGAAAGCTGGCTTACAATTTTTTTTTAGTTTGCCTGTGTCCTAAAACTCCTGTTTGCGGCAGTACATGCCAAAAGAAGAAAAATAAATACAGTGCAGTGTTCAAGGAGGGCAACGCAGTGAACACATTAACAACTCTTCCAATGAAAATGCATGAAGCCCCTCCAATCTGCTTTGGTGCAAAAATGCAGCAGTCTTAACGTAATTTGTTTGACACCCCCCACCCCAACCAAGTAACAGCTACAGCTCTTCAATCAGTAGCGAGCATGAGAGACTTGAAGAGCCATAGCTGTGTGTTAGTGAGTGCATCAGACAGGAAGTGAAGGACTCCTGACCTGCATAGGTTGCCAGGTCAATGATTAAATAAAAAAGCAAGGATAAAGACCAGTTAGAAAGGGTAGCTCCAATACTTTTATCAAGACAGAATACCTATATACAATGACCTAGGAGTACAGTACACATCCTTAAGATGTAAAAACACACACACACCTGCATCTCAGAATATAAACTTCATCTGCACTGTGTGGCAAAGGTAGCATTTTCTTCTTGCTTCCAGACCGTGATCTTGACTTTTTTTGCTTGCAGTCCAAAACTAGTACACAAAATGCAAGAATTAGAATAGAGCTAGATCTCCACAACAACAACAAATCTTAGCAAATTGAAAATAATGTAAAGGAATAAACTCTCTGGTGACCTAATTTGTAGCATTCTATCTAGCAGCTTACAATCCTTTTTACCAAACCATACCCATCTTTCTGTATGGCAAATTTGGGTTACATTTTATACAGCCATTATATTATCGAGTATCTGGGTGAGTAGTCGTGCTTGCACAAATGCTCCGATACTTATCCCGATATCGAAACTTCCGGTCAGAGGGCGATTTCCTCTGCCCGGCAGTGCCGCGGGTAAACATGGAGCCAGCTTCTCGGCCAATCAGGAAGCCGGGCCACGGGAAATGACTCACAGCCCGGCTTCCTGATTGGCCGGGAAGCTGGCTCCATGCTGTTTGGCTGGCTCCATGCAGATTAACTGGGAAGCCGATTTCCCGGCCAAACAGCATCGAGCCAGCTTCCCGGCCAATCAGGAAGCCGGGTCGCGGGTAATGACCCGCCTCCCCAGCTTCCCTTTTGGCCGGGAAGTCGGCTCTATGCTGATTGGCTGGAGTGCCAGCTTTCCGGCCAAACAGCATGGAGATGGCTTCCTGGGCAATCCTGAAGCTGGGCAGCAGGTAATGACACGCTGCCCGGGAAGCTGGATCCATGCTACCAGAAGTACCGTTATCAGCAAGTACCGAAATCTAAATAACGGCACTCGATACCGAAAAACCAGTATCTGTGCATTCCTAATAAAGAGCAACAACAAAAAGAAACTATCACCATTTAGATTGTAAGCTCTCAGGGGCAGGGCCCTCCTTACCATCTTGTCTTGAATTGTATTGTGATTGTAATGTCTGCCCTATATTGTAAAGCGCTGCGCAAACTGTTGGCGCTATATAAATCCTGTATAATAATAATAATAATTAACACTGTAGTATCAGATTAACCGAGTTCCCATAAAAACAAAATGTCGGTTATATAATTCATATTTCAATTTTAATTCATGGCAAGGAGACGATCATCCAACTTTAATTTATAAGGTTGAGAAAACAAAATAAAAAATTATTGTAGTTTCACCTTGCAAACAGTATAAGTGAGTGCTAGAAGCAGTAGACAGCTCCACTTCTGTGGTGGCATTAACAGATCATAGGCCAGCCCAGAACAACCTCTTCTACTACCAGCATGCCTCAGTTTTGTAGCAAGCAGTACCAAGAGCATAATCCTAAACGCAGAAGGATGGGACAAATGCCCTTTAATGGACGCCAAGAAAATAATTTTATAGTGAGTAAACAAATCCAATTTTCTTTCTTGTCCATTAAGGAACACAGGAAGTCTACTACCCACGGGAAGTCCAAATACAGTCAAACTGAGTGGTGGCAACACAGTGACAACCGCTAACAGGTCCAACAAAACGAAACCTCTTGACTGCCTACAGCTCAAGAGCAGCCAGAAGGATCAACGTCCACAGTTGGCACTGGTTAGGGCAGCAATCCCCCACCTAGTAGCAACGAAAACAAGACCAGGTGATAACCTAGCATGGGGAACCAATGCCCAAGAGAAAACAAAAACGTATTCACACAATTAGTGAAGAATGTCTCAGAGGGGAGAAGAACCCCAATCTGCAGACCATACACCCATACACTTGGAAGCCGTTTACCTGAGCCAACAAGGAATGGGGTTGGAACTAAAAACAAACGGGGACCATATTAGGCTGTGATGCCCCAGATCTTGATACCCACGCTTCCCTGCACCTATGATCCACCACTGAGGGGGAAAGACCCGAGGGTAGAGCAGGAGGATGCCTGGTGAGTCAACAATGCAGGCAGGATTGGTAACCCACAGCAGTGGTCAGTAGAGATTTGGACTCCCTCAGCACGCCAGTGAAAGGTGCCAAATTAAAGAAAAATGGAGGGACAGTGAATCAACCATGCCACTGGAACCCTACATTTTCCCCACAGAGTGAAGGGGCAGAACTGGGTACCCGATTAGGAATAAACCCTGCCTGGTCGCCCTCAAAGCGGAAGCAAAGCGGTCACTTAAAGAGGACATGCCCCATCCTGCCAGTCTTTAGGGACATGGCTCCATCACAATGGGCCCGTAAAGCACTCTGCAGCGAATACATAAATTGTCAAAGAGAGTGCCCCACACAAGGTGCAGTGGCTTGAGCACATTAAAGGCTAGCCCTATATCTTCCTTCAGGTCCTGGTATGGGCTACGGAGGCTCTGCCAAAGAGAAAACATATCCAGATAGTTTGTTATGTGCCACAGTGGCTGTGAGCAGTATTAGGGAAACTTGCTGGAAGAATCTTCAGTAGAAAAGACAGAAAAAGGATGTAAAGGATTTACAGCAGAGAGAAGGCATCCATCGCCTAAGGAAGGCTAAGTGGGGATATATAGGATTGATTTACAGCTTTAATTTGCCAGTGTCCAATCACCTGAAGATAGTTGTATAACCCTGGTAGTAAGGAATGTAACCGTGTCCTGTGATATACAAACAAGAAATTACAAAAAAATGTTCCCAAATATTGCCAGAAGATAGATTTGACAAACTCTTAATAATAGTATTTAGTAATGCATTTTGAAATGTTCCTGTCATGTTTTAAGGGGCCTAACAGGTATTAATTTCTCCACTTGTCACCTCAGTGAATAGGAATAAGATTGCAGGCCTCCTTAGATCTAACTTAGAGAAGACTACTAATTAGTAAAGAGTACAAATCAGGAAATGTTATCTTGTTGAGGCATCTGTAATCAATGCAAGGATGAAGAGGAAGAACAAAGAAAAATTATGCAACTGCAGGGAAAAGATGAGTGAACGTCTCATTCTTAAGATGTTCCACAATGTATCGTCTTATGGCATGGTTTTCAGGCTCAGACAGAGTGAAGGCACAGCTTCTAGGAGGAGTAGCACTCAAAACAACATCAATTGGACGTAAAGCTGTTGTGGCTTTCTCACAGAAGACATCTGTGTAATCAAAACAGGCAGAGTAGTGGTAATTGCAAAAAGTGGCAAAGGGTTTGCTGCTGCAGGCAGGTATTGAAGCAGGACTGACAAGAGGACTTCTCCAAGTTACTAGCCAATTCGAGGATTGTGACATTTAAGTCAAGGGGTAGGGGGCACATGAGGAGATATAAAAATGTTCTTGATGAAAATAACAAATTTTTTTAGGTTGAGGTCTGGGGTATGTTGGGTGACTGGACTAGAAGACAATGGGGAGTGGTCAATGGCACTGTAATGTTCCAGGCATCTGTTGCCCACGCACAAGTAACTATCACTGCCGGGGTCAACTACCCATAGAGAAACCCCTTGAAGAGCGGGTGCACTGAAAAGGTCTTTGCAGCTGTAGGACCTCTGAAAGACCTGCATCAATAATAGTATATTATAATAGTACAAGTCGAAATGGTCTTCTAATTCTGGAGTAACAGTCAAAGACTGTGACTCATCCAGGATAACCTTGTCAGGAAGAGACTGGGGCTACCAAGATTTAAAAATAGTCACTTCAACCCATGGTTCAGGTGCCTCCAAGGTTGCAGGCATATCAGCTACAGATTCTGCAGTGAAATGTGTGGGAGCACGCTTGGAGACTGTGACCAATAGTTTTCTGGCTGATTCTGACCACAAAGTCTTGCTTGACTGCAGTAGAGACACCAGCTGGCAAAGCAGGGGATTCAGCCTCATCAGGAGGAATAAAAGAGGACTCGGATGATGAGGTAGACCCTATCATAGAGAAACTGGTTTCCAGATGTCGGTACCATTTGGAAGGCACATCCCCTGAACAATTAGGGGCTGGGGTAACCTATTGAAGTAGGACCATCCTGCAATTATGTGTCCCACTAAACTGCCTAGCGACAAGGCAACAAAGTTTAGTGCATGAGGCAATGCCTCAGGCACTCCGGAAACCCGGAAAAGCTGGTAGCCAGCAAGGGTGCGATGGATGGAGGTGACCAAAGTCACTGCAGATGGACAGTAGAAAATGACCAAAGTTCAGAGTTGCAAGTGTCTTTGCAAAGCAGGAATAGCAGCAGGGAGATGTTTCCTTGGCATTGATTGGCAGGAAAGAGCACAAAGCATACCCGACACTTCCCTGAGCAGATTATGTCAGTGCTTAGGCTAGCAATATAATAATTATAAAAATTATATATATGTAGGTTAGATTTTTCCCAATAGAGTTGAAGAAAAGGCATCCATCCTCCTGCAACACACAAAAAAAACAAAAAAAACTGAGGCATGCTGATAGTAGGAGGGGTTCTCCTGGCTTGGCTTACAGTTTGGTTTGCCAGTGTCCAATCATCCTGTGAGTGGCAGTATAGCCAAAAGTTAACAGACTTCATGTGACCCTCAATGGATGATAAAGTATTTATTATTGCAAATCACTTGATGGAAGAAGATTAAACGCATTCTGACAATTTAACATACTGAGCTCTCCTATACTTCTGGGGAGTCATTCAGTCATTGCCATTCCTTACATCACTCCTTTCAGCTACAATTTCAAGGAGAATCCTCACTAGTAATAGATGGGCAGAGCTGTCTTTGGAGGTGTGTGCTTGTTTTGTGGAGAGGTCCTTCCTTGTGGCTAGCAGCCAGGGAAGAACTTTAGTTAAGTTGCCACCAACAGAAGCTGAGGTGCAAGCACCACCAAACGTTATCTTTATCAGAGGATTAGAAAGAAAAAAAAAGCCCTGTATTAGGCCACTTTGCTTGCACTCCCAAACGTGAAAGACTATTTGATCCCAGACTACTGTTTACCTTCTTAATTAAAAAGGGTCAAACTGAAAATATGCAAAATAAAGTCACAAAAACAACTGATAATGTAATAAAGTTTTGCAGCTAGTGACATTTAAAAGGTAACATTTTAATTTAAAAACATTTATGACAACTAGGGATGTCCCGATGCCACTGTTTTAAGACCAAGTACAAGTACTGGCCCTCATGTACTTACCGATACCAATTACCGATACTTTCTCTTAAAGGGACAGGTGACATTTTTTCAAAAACAAT